TTTTTTTTTTTTTTTTTTTTTTTTTTTTTTTTTTTTTTTTTTTTTTTGCAGGATCGAGGTGTATGGGGATTGCATCGGATTTGGTTGATTTTTTTAATTGAGTTGGGTTATTTGGTTAATTTTTTTAAATTATTTAAAAACTATATGTATCTATAATACATATAATTGTTGGATGAAACCGCTAATCTAAGAAATGATTCTATGTGAGAGGCCTTTTGGAAAAGACCAAAGCAAGACCACCAAAAAATACTCTTTCTGAGAGGCCTTTTGGAAAAGCCCAAAGCAAGACCACCAGAGCTTATGTTTAAAGTGAACAATATCATACCATTGTGGAAAGTCGTGTTAATCTAACCAGATATCAAAACCATGTTCTAAACTTAGTCATGTCCATATAAACTTCAAATATCGAACAAAGGACTCCAAAAGAAAAATGATTCGAGCTTCCCGCCTTGAAGGCATAGTAAAAAAATGACTAATACTCCAAAAGAAAAAGAAATCGAGCCTTTTGGGGAAGCCATGAGAGCTTATACTCAAAGTGGACAATATCATACCATTGTGGTGGTGTAAGTCCTTTTGGAGAAGTCACAAGAGCTTATGGTCAAAGTGGACAATATCAAGACAATATCAAGAGAGTTAGGTCCATTTTGATTTTTTCAAAAAATTAATTCAATCCAAATTAAAAATGATAATAATAATAATTGATTTTTAATCACAGTAATTCTCAATATTTTTTTTTTGTATTTCTGCTATTATTTTTTTGTTCTTGAAGATTTCTTAATTATTCTTTAAGAATATGTTTAAAAAGATAATTTATTTTATTTATTTCTTTCTTTGAAAAGAAAAAAAAAAGATGGTTTATTTATTTTGTTTGTTTGTTTAGAGGAGGGGTCATACCTTGTCAGCTCCAGCATGGTGCACTGAATGAGTTTTGCAAAAAGAGGGAAAAAGAAATGCTAATATGTAAAGTACAAGAAAAAGAAAAATAAAATATATTATTTAAATTATATTTTATGTCACAAATTTATTTATCTAAGTTAATTTGATACAATATAGAGATTTAGGCGAATATTTAAACTATCATGTATTGGTGTTCATGATGAGAGGGATGACCTTAGTTCGATACCACTTCGAAACCGAAGTTGCAAGCTTTTGAGAGGCCCGACATAGAGTATCACCTCTCTCTTTTCGCACATCATTGCTTGACCCTCGAATGAATCTTGGTTTACAAGTTTGGTCGGCATCGAGTGACAATCTATAACTTTCAAGAGAAGAATCTGAGTATCGATTTGACCTATTACATATCACCGTAAGTCTTACCGTTTTAAAACGCGTATGTTAGAAAGAGGTTTCTACATTTTTATAAGTTCGTTTTCCTTTCCAACCAGTGTGAGATTTCGCAATTCATCTCTCTTGGAGACTTAGCGTCCCCGCTAGCACACAACTCGATGTCTGGCTCTGTTATTATTTGTAACAACTCAAGCTCATCACTAACAGATATTGTTTGTTTTGGCTCGTTACATATAGCCGTCAACCTTGTTGGATGATGAAAGTCCCACATCGGCTAATTTAGGGAATGATCATGGGTTTATAAACAAAGAATACTCTCTCCATCGGTGTGAGGTCTTCTCGAGAAGCCCAAAGCAAAGTCATGAGAGTTTATGCTTAAAGTGGACAATATCATACCATTGTGTGGAGAGTCGTGTTCGTTTATGCCTCTATGAGGGAGAAATTTCTACCAAATGTTTTGTTTCCTCTCTAAAATGCATTTATTTATTTATTTTTAAATATATATTAAATTTAGATATATAAAGACTTTATCATTTATGTCACAATCACAAGTGGCTCACCTCCACGTCACTTTCTAGAGTTGATAAGACATATTTTTCTTTTTATTTCCTTCAATTTTAATTATTTTTGGAAAAGGAAATTAATGGATAAGGGACGCAAAAAAATGACAGATGTGGGGACCATCCCACATGTCACAACACGACAACGCCACATTTTCTTTTCCCAATAATTTCAAATGAGAATCTTGAAAGTTTTCAACTTCATATTATATTTATATATATATTTTTTATATAACTAAAAATAAGAAAGGATCTTTTTTTGGAATAAATAAATATCAATTTAATAATTTAGTTTAATTTAATGCAAAAATATTGTAAATATTTGATGACATTAACGTTCACCCCTTCCGACCCAATATGAAATGGTAAAGACCTATTTAGGATGAAAACATGTAAAATGAGTTTGGAACGGACATGCAACCATAGACAACACGTCCTGGACAAGCAAGATCGGGATATCCGTTATAAGGCCATTGACAACATGCCTTGGACATGCATGACAACTGCATGACCGTGACATCCTCCCCACTCAATTAGTTGACATTCCTGTCAACTGACCCGTATAAGCAAGACTAGGACATCTATCACGCAGCCATAAGCAATATGCTTTGAACAAACATGATCGTGACATCGAGACTAAACACGTTTTCTCATTTGTTGGAGAATATTCAAAAAGCTCAATTCCCAAAAAAAAAATATGATCAACCAAACTTAACCCGTACGATTTTGGTTGAGTTATAAACTTATTTAAATTAATTTTTATTTTTTATAATAAATATATTTTTTTTAATAAATGACCCGAACAAACCGAACAAATTGAACCTAACCCACGAACCCGAGAAAGTTAATGGGCCTCAATTCATAACAACACCCTCTATTACATTTCCACAAAGCCCATTATTAATAGGCCCAAACCAATTGAGGTATAAATATAAATTTAATCAAATATATATTTGTTTTTAATTTAAATAAAAAATTATTTTCTTACACCACAAAAACCAACTAACTTTTGAAAAAACCGTTATAACCAATGACCAAATCAAATGCCTCATTTTGGGATCCAATTTTTGGTTAACCTATTTATGTCTCTCTCTCTTTTGTTCTTCCTTAGCCATTTTTTTCTGGGAGACATTGAAGATCGATTTGAATTATAGTATGTTTTCTTTGACGTCTTTAGCTTCAAAATCTAATTCCAAATCTATCCATGAAGTTATAGCTTCACCACAACTTATCACTGTTCTATTGTCTTCTCAACAAGCTGGCTCCGATCGAGATAATAGAAGAAGCTCCATATTCGACTTCTTAACCAAATCAATTGCTTCGGGAGCTTTGATTGTCGGAGTTGGGTCGTTTTTTAGCTCAAATTTGCAAGTTTCTTTTGCTGACTTTCCGAAACAAACGACATGGACGGTGAACGAAGATCGGTTTCCATACCCATTGCCGAATCAAAATGCAACGAAGAAACCAAAGTTTTTATTTGGAGGTAAGTGAATGTTCATCGACCCTAATATGATCTTGTAAGATTCTACGTTGATTGGGGAGGAGAACGAAATACCCTTTATAGGAAGGGTGTGGAAACCTCTCCCAAAAACCTTGAGGAGAAGTTCGAAAAGGAATTTGTTGTGAATTTGGGTTGATTATAAATGGTATTAGAGTCAGACAAGCGATGTGCCAGCGAGGAGGCTGAGCCTCGAAGGGGGTGGACTCGAGGCGACGTGCCAGCAAGGACCTTGGGCACCAAAGGGGATGGATTGTGGGGGTCCCACATGGATTGGAGAATGGAACGAGTGCCACACTGGCCTCGAAAGGGATGTATTGTAAGATCCCACGATGGTTGGGGAGGAGAAAGAAACACCCAATAAGTGTAGAAATGGAGTGGATTGCGGGGGTCCCTGTCGCTCAGAGAATGGAACGAGGCTAGAGGACGTTGGGCTCTGAATAGGGGTGAATTGTAAGATCAGTTGGTTGGGGAGGAGAAAGAAATATCCTTTATCAAATCTAGCATTTTAACCTTAGTCATGGTAAATTTAATCTTTTGTTCATGTTTTATGTCCGATCGATTCTAGATAATTACAAAAGACGGGTGTTTAACATTTTAACCTAATGGGTCACGGTAAATTTAATCTTTTGTTCATATTTTGTGTCCGATCATTGCCAGATGATTACC